GGGGTTTGTGCCAAATGGAGAACTAATTCTTTATAACCAAGAAATTAACGCAAAAATATTCGAAGAATACATGGAAGCGATGATGCCATCCCTCCCCCCAAATACTATCGTAATTTATGACAATAGTCCGGTGCACTCCAGGCAGTACAATAAAACCCCGACAATGAGTTCAAACAAAAGTGAAATTAAAACTTATTTAATTAATAATAATATTCACTTTAATGATGACTACAGTAAAGCCCAGTTATTAGCAACAGTTAAAGCACATCCAAAAGATCCTCAATATTATTGTGATGACATTGTAAAGAAGTTTGGGTGTCACCCCCTAAGACTGCCCCCATACTGCTGTGACCTCAACCCCATCGAATTAATATGGAATACATGGAAAGGGATTGTGGGTCACAATAATTATGATTTGAATAAAACAGAATTTAGAAATTTATTGTCAGAAAGCTTCACAAAAATAAGTAAAAGTTTATGGGGGGATACCGTTAGGTTCGTTGTTAGGGAATATGAGGCTAAATATATTAATCAATTTAAAATTTCAAGTGAAGACATTAATGGTGAGACTGTTATTACTGTATTTTAAATGTATTTTAGTTGCAATCAATAAATAAAGGTTTTGTAACATATAAATAGTGATATACTGTATGTATTTTGTTGTCAGTATGATATATGACGTGTTGTGTGTGACGTGTGGGGGTAAAAGTGTTAACCCCTTTCTCTTTGAAACCGTTTAGTGGTAGGTATAAATCAATGATAGTTTATTAAATTATAAAACAATGAAAATTTATTATTAAAATTATCACCAATTATTATATATGGTTTAATTAAATAAGTTATAAATTAATAAATATAATCACGTTTAATGAATTTTATACAATAATATTCTCATGCATTATTATATAAGTTATTATATAAATATTTCTAGGCGTATCCAATGACATCTACATGCTACAATAAATAATTAGTTGATTCAATTCTGGGTAAATACTATGTGTATGTAGTTTCTAAATCACATAATTCTCTGAGTAGTGGTCCGTAATATTGACTGTATGTATGAAATTTGGAGACCTCCTTGTTTTTATGCAATTGCCCGGCTATTCTCACATCATTCAGTGAGTCCATCAGTTTTTGTAGACTTAATTGCGATTCCCATTCGGACCCGTATTTCATAAGTAGATATTTTTGCAATAAATAAATATACAACTGTTGCTCCAGTCTATCAAAATATATATTTAAATAATATTAACATTAATTGTACACTAATTATAAGACTTATTATTATTACTTAACATTATGCCTATGGATGAGATGCGGTCGGTTGGGATTAAAAATGATAATCGCCATCAACTAGTGTTGTGACATAAAATTAAAATTAATGTTTATATTATATTGTACAATAGTTACCAGCTCTAGTATAACATAATCCCGGTGCCATTCTGGCCAGGCTTTATTTATGAAGTGCACAAAATTATGAAATTCAAATTCTGGCAGTCCAATTCGCACTGATAGGTCATTGTCCTAAAATTGTCGAAAAATATTGTAACAAAATACAGTATAAACAACAAATAATAATCTAAACTATTAAGTAGTCTAATAAATCTTGTATAATAAACCATAAGACACACTAAATTTAGAAATATAAAAAAACTAAATACTATATACTATGTACATTACATACAATCATGACTTACAAGATGTATAGTAAATTGTTTGGTCTCGGAGTCATAATAGGCTATAAATCTCAACAAAAACACTTGGAAACAGCAGTCCTTTATAAGTAACAACTGGTCTTCCGGACAGATATTTGTGAATCCTTTCAAACTTTTTGAAAAACTCACAACACTTTTAATGTATGGATCGGTTCGGGGCAAAAATAGTTTGTTTAACTCATCCCGGATGTTGGTCGCATAAATAGGTGTAGTTTGACTAAACCCGGAGTGAAATACGTTGGATGCCCTCATGAGTTCACTGATCCGATTGCACTCCAACTCATTTAAACCCTTATAATCAGTGAGTACTGGATATATGGGAATGACTGACAATTGGTATGTTTCTTGATTTGTATCATTAGATAAAGTTTTCGGTGAATTTGTGACACAGTTTTCAATGTCTATTATCGGTTCAGCCATTCCATTGATAGCCATATCTAATAAAACTTCAAATTCTTTGCTATAATTTTCACAATTAAGTTGCGATTCATTTATTGACTCAGTTATCAGCGACGAGTCCACGGAGTTATCACTGATTTGTATCACGTCTTCATTGGTCTCATTATCGACAACCACTACATCCCTGTCTATAGTCTCATAGGTTTTCAAATATTCCTGTCATTAGGTTCACAACACTTTTATTCACAAGTAAAACAATTATTAAATGTTTAAAAATAAATACCTTTTTCATTCCGATGCTAAAACACCTTTCAATCCGACATTTTTGGCAATACTTTCTAGTGACCGGGGTTATTTTACATCTGCCACCCGACGGACATACAAACGTCTATTAAATAATAATGCAAAACATGTAACAAAAATAGATACATAGATATATTGATTTAGATAATGTATAATAATATTAATTTGATCTAGTTCACCTTATTGTTGAGCGCATTTCGAAAGAAAAACTTTTTACACGACTCGCATGTAATACCGCCGTAATTTCGACCTAGATACAATTAAATACAATTTAAATTTAAGATAATATTAATTTGATCTAGTTCACCTTATTGTTAAGCGCATTTCGAAAGAAAAACTTTTTACACGACTCGCATGTAATACCGCCGTAATTTCGACCTAGATACAATTAAATACAATTTAAATTTAAGAAATGCTAATATGATTATAAAGTATTGCTCACCAATTCGCAAATTATGACCACAAATACCGCAGATTTTGTTTTTATCACACATGGTAAACGATATTAATTTTTGAATTTATTTAAACTAGGACATATTGTTGTCAATTATAATAAAATAATAATACTATGATGAAAACATGATAAAACTCAATTATGGCAGTGTGTTGCTATGTATACCAATCAAGCATAAACATTGCTTCGGGAACTTTTACATGTATTAACATTGTGTAAAATTAATAGGTATGACCTTGGTTACATTAGGGTTGTCTAAATATTGGCGCTTAAAATGAAATACAACTAAATATTATAGACTAAATTAAAATAAAAAATATTATTTGATAAATGAATTAAATGATTTTTATTGATAAATTATTAGAAATAAGTAATTATAACCACAAATGTATTATACAGTATTATATGAATACCTTTACTTCACATTGTATAAAATCTAAAGTGAGAAATAAAGTAATAATTAAATACATACAGTGTACATACAAAATACAATACAATGCAATTCATTACAATTTCTATACTGTAGAATATAATTTAAAGTCATATGTTCAAATAAATATATTCATTGCAAATCATAGATCTCCTTAACCAATGGTCCGTAATATGGTTTTAATGGGGACTCATATGCGGCCGACTCTTGGGTTTTAAGCGTTTCTCCCGATATTTTGAGATCACTCATTGAATCCATGAGTTTCTGTAGACTTGACTGCGATTCCCATTCCGACCGGTATTTTAAATGAAGATATTTTTGCAGTAAATAAATATATAGTTGTTGTTCAAGTCTATTATCAATATGACATCATTTATAAATTAGATAATATAAGCCAAAATAATTTCAAACTTACCTAACATTATGCCTATGAATTAGATTCTGTCGGTTGGGATTGAAAAGTATGATTGCCATCAACTATGGATTAAGTTTAGAGTTAATCCACAATTATCTAGATCATTTAATAGGTAAATACCAGCTCTAATATAACATAATCCCGGTGCCATTCAGGCCATATTTTATAGATGAAATCCATACCTGCAAATACCCCGACTTTAACTCTCATGGATGTCTCATTGTCCTAAAATATAGTCAAACATACATTTCTAACAAAACTAATGATAAATTTATATGTTTTGAAAACATATTTTTCAATCAACATTTGAATGATAAATTTAAATCTAAATAGAAATGTGAATTTAGCATGGTACAGGTATAATTGTCACTTACAACATGTATAGTGAAATGTTTGGCCTCATTGTCATAATCTTCTAAAATTCTCATTAAAAGCAATTCAAGGCACCCGTACTTTACTAGCGATACCTGGTCATCAGGACACATATTTGTGAAGCCAGTCAAACATTGAGTAAAATTGATCATATCTCTAATTTTGCTCTCATCCCGGTACAAAAATAATTTGCTCAACTCCACCAGGTCATCGCTTATCAATATATTGCTACTTAACTGGTAGTGAAATATTTTCGAGGCACTCATCAATTCATGAATCCGATTGCACTCCAAATCATTCAAACCCTTATAATCAGTGAGTACTGGATATATGGGAATAACTGTTGATTGAGATGTTTCTTGATTTGTGTCATTAAATGTAAATTCTGATGAATGTGTGATCAAGTTTTCATTAATAGCCATCTCTAATATATCCGTGAATTCATTAATATTTTCATCATTAATAAGTGATTTATTTAATGAGTTAGTTGTCGGCGACGATTGCGTTGAGTTTGTGTTTTCATTGCTTTGTGTCAAGTCTTTATGAGGTTTAGTCTGAACCCTATCCCTGTCTATACTCTCATATATTTTCAACAATTCCTGTAATTATTAATAAATATTAATCACTAGCAAAACAATTATCTAAAGTATTTACGATTACCTTTCTCATTCCGACGGCAAAACATTTTTCAATCCGACATTTGGAGCAAACTTTTCGTGTGGACGGAGTTATTATACACTCTCCATGTGATGGACACACAAACATCTAGTAAATTGAAAATATATTAAACATAATTAAAATTAAAATGTGAGTTTACCTTGTTCATGAGTGCGTTTCTTTTGAAAAACATTTTACACGAGTCGCAAGTTATGGCACCGTAATACCTACCTACAATTAATTAATTGCAAATTAAGTATGATACAATATACAAGTTTTAAAATGTAACTTACCAAGTCGTGTGTTATGCCCACAAATAGCACATGTTTGGTTAACATGTTTATTACTCATTATTAATGAAGATTTTATTTAAATTTAAATTATAACAAGTTGTTGCTGGTAGTTTTACAATATATTATAAGATTAATTTAAACTCAAAACAAATGGTAAAAGTTTACGAATGATTTACAAATGAATGCTATGTTTATAAACAAATTGAAAATATTGCATCACAACTAGCAATAGCTATGACCTTGATTGAATTGTTACTTTATAAATAGTGGCATTGAATTTGAAATGATATTTCTTAGCCAATAATTTCCCAGTTAAATGAAATTGACATTAAATATTTTAAAATAATTCTTACAGTTTATTATTGCATTTAAAATAATATAAATTACAAGCGTGTTTATAATATACCCTAATATAAACTTTATATATGGCAAAAATTGTGATAAGAAAAATTGATACAATTTATTATCTTATTTTGATTTATACAGATGTACTGTAAGTTATAATCTATACCAGTACGAGCTCGGTAATACTGGTATATGAATTGAACACAAAACTAAAAATCTATTTTACAAATCATAGATCTCTTTAAGTAATGGCCCGTAATATGGTTTATATGTTTCATATTCAGACACATCTTCCAGTCGATGCAAATCTCCAGATATCTTGAGATCACTCATTGAATCCATGAGTTTCTGTAGACTTAACTGCGATTCCCATTCCGATCAGGTAGTTTTACAATATATTATAAGATTAATTTAAACTCAAAACAAATGGTAAAAGTTTACGAATGATTTACAAATGAATGCTATGTTTATAAACAAATTGAAAATATTGCATCACAACTAGCAATAGTTGCGACCTTGATTGAATTAATACTTTATAACTAATGGCAATGAATTTAAAATTATGTTTCCTTAGTTAACTTGTAGCCAATGATTTGACTGTTAAATTAAATTCACATTAAATATTTTTAATTAATTAATACATTTATTATTGCATTTAAAACAATATAAATAACAAAAACAAGTGTGTATATGGCAAATTGTGATAAGAAAAATTGATGAAATTTAATAAAATATTGTACATCTTATTTTGATTTATATCAGATGTACTGTGTATTGTAAGTTATCATCTATACCAGTACAAGCTCGGTAATATGATTTTAACACAAAATAAAAATCTAGTTTATAAATCATAGATTTCTTTAAGTAATGGTCCGTAATATGGTTTATATGTTTCATATTCAGACACATCTTCCAGTCGATGCAAATCTCCAGATATCTTGAGATCACTCATTGAATCCATGAGTTTCTGTAGACTTAACTGCGATTCCCATTCCGATCACCGTAATATGGTTTATATGTTTCATATTCAGACACATCTTCCAGTCGATGCAAATCTCCAGATATCTTGAGATCACTCATTGAATCCATGAGTTTCTGTAGTGAATTGACGCTAAGGGTAAGGCTAGCCATAAAATTTTTGTCTATAAAAACATCATTTATTTACATGTTGAAAACAAGTTTTGATATTTTCGGTTTTGTATTTAATTAAATTTTTATTCGTTCTGTAACTATAAACTTACTTCACGTTATTCCTATGTATGAGATCCTGTCGATTGGGATTAAATAGTATGATAGCCATCAACTATGGGATACATTTATTAACTTATAATCACTTATACAAATTACTTTATTGTATGAAAAGTGATAGGTACCAGCTCCAAAATCACATAATCCTGATTCCACTCTGGCCATACTTTATTTATGAAGTCCATAAACATACTAAATGTAAACACGGCCGTACCAAGTCTTATTGAAGTCTCATTGTCCTAAAATATAGTTACAAATTAATTACATGAGTATCTCATTAAAAATATGTGTCTTTATATAATTATTCTTTAACAATTATTTACAATTAATACTGTTAAATAACTGAATTCTTAAACTTTACATTTACCACTAATATAATTAAACACTGAGTGTTATATATGTCATTTCACAAACCGGACGTTGTCATAATCGGGTACCATCCTAAGCAAAATCAGTTCAATACACCCGTACTTTACAAGTGAAAACTGGTCATCAGGGCATAAACTTGTGAATCCACTTAGATTTTGAGTAAAACTAGCAAGCTCCGTAATTTGAATCTCAGTCCGGTTCAAAAATATTTTGAACAACTCATCCCTGTCCTTAGCTTGTATTACATTTTCACTCAACCGGTAGTTAAATACATGGGAAGCCCTCATCAGTTCACTGATCCGATTGCACTCCAACTCATTTAAACCCTTATAATCAGTGAGTACGGGATATATAGGAATGACTGACAATTGATATGTTTCTTGATTTGTATCATTAGATAAAGTTTTCGGTGAATTTGTGACACAGTTTTCAATACCACTTTGTTGTTGAGTATTTGCATTGATAGTCATATCTAATAAATCGTCGACTTCTTGGCCATAATTTTCATCACTAAGTTGTGTCTCATTTGTTGAGTCAGATGTGGGCAACGAATCGCAAGAATTTATATTTTCGTTCATTTGTGTCAAGTCTTCACGAGTTTCAGTCTCGAGAAACACTTCATCCCTATCCCTGTCTATACTCTCATAGACTTTCAGCAATTCCTGTCATTATTAAAGAAATTAATTTATTACTTAGTATTCAAACAATTGTTTATAAATACTTTTCTCATTCCGATGGCAAAACATTTTTCAATCCGACATTTGGAGCAATACTTTCTGGTCGTTGGAGTCATTATACACTTTCCATTGGAGGGACATATAAACGTCTATTCAATTAAATATGTATTAAAAATTAGCTTAAATTATGTTATTTTTAAACCTTATTGTTGAGCGCATTTCGCTTGAAAAACATTTTGCACGACTCGCAGGTAAACCCACCGTAATTTCGCCCTGGTTATGTATTGATACAAAATTTAGATACAAAATAGCAAGCATGAAATATTTATAACTTTTACCAATTCGTGAATTTTGGCCACAAATAGCGCATATTTTATGTATAGTTTTATTAGACATTATTTATAATGGTTTTAAATTATTTATTCACAGAATTTTGTCAATTATTTTTAGGTTTTATTTTTTAAAAACATAACAAATACTAGAAATGCAATAAAATGTCACTATGTTTGAGATTTGTGTTTATAAAAAATTACACGAGAAACTAGTAGTAACTGTATATGTTTGACCTTGATTATATTGTATAGAAGTTGTCTAAATTCTCTATAGACATTGGAGGGAATCTTAATGAATGCTTCCTAGTTTAGTTTATTAGTTTACTTTCATTTTTTAAAATTTAGTTTAATGCTATTTATCATTTTAAAGTAAATATCTATTTAGCATTCAAATTAGGGAATACTTATAATACAATATAATTTACAAAGGTTTAAAAATAATCTCTGTTTTAAAAAAATAAAATATTAGATTATATTTGATTTTAATGTTTTCTAATTATCTACAGTAATCTTGAGAATAAATTCTAGATTTAATACTATTAAATAAAAGTTTAATGTTTTTAATAATATAAATGCCATAATAATATGAAATAATTCAAATAAGACATTTATTTATAAATAAATAATTCATTAATGAATTTTGAAATTGTATTTCAATTTTATTTAAAGAGTATTTTTAATTAGCGACAAACATCTGGACATCTGATCTATAATAGCGACTTAAATGCAGTTTTCAAAAAAGTAAACTTTGTGAATTACAATTAAAATTGTCGTTACCATGCACAATTCCTACATTATATGGCTGTCAGTGATCGTGTGTTTGTATGGGGCGAGTGGGGCACTAGGCGTGTGGTCGGGGTCGGCCTACTTAACCAAACTGCGGGCCATCAATAGCGTCAATGGCGGTGAGGCTATCCTATGGCGACGTAAGCGGGAGGAAGATGGGAAGGCCTTTGACCCGAGCCTGGAATGTGGGGACGTCTGTTCGGAGGGCGAGAAGTGCCGGGAAGGGCTGTGTCTGAGACCAGATGAAACCCCTCCTTCATAAGTACTTACGGACGGCACGGGGGCACAAAAAGCACGACCACGTGGTCTTCAAAATTACTTCTTTATTATGATTATTATTATTTTTGACAATAAAATTGATTTGTATTTTATTTTCGTCTCATTTGCTATTCAATCAGTTTTATTGTCTCAAAATTAAATTATATTTTCTTATTATAAATAGATTTTATATTCGAGTATTATTTTAAGTACTGTAAGTTGTACTAGGTATAATATACAAAAATTTTTGATCACTCATTGAATCCATGAGTTTCTGTAGACTTAACTGCGATTCCCATTCCGACCGGTATTTTAAATGTAGATATTTTTGCAGTAAATAAATATACAACTGGTGATCCAGTCTTCATAAAATTAAAATTAACTTTTATTTTAATAAACAAAATATTGTGAAACTTACTTAACATTATGCTTATGAGTGAGATGTTATCAATTGGGATTAAAAAGTATGATTGCAATCAACTATATTTATGAAATAAAATATTTAAAAATATAATTACACTAACAATTAGTGATAGTCATTTATTTTTTAAAAATCCGATTTATCATATTATGGCCACAAATATCGCATATTTTGTTTGTTAATTTATCACAAATTTTGTAAATATATATTTTCATTTTAGTTAAAATTTAGTAAAATATTTAATGATAAGTTTTATAATTTATTGTAGTTTAAAATCATTACATTAAGGAAAAAGAAATATTATTTATGACTAAAACTGTGTTTACAAATCAAGTGAAAATATGGCATAAGATACTAATAATTTATAAATAATAGTTACGACCTTGATAATAACACGCTTTTCTAAATACCGGCGCGAAATATCTAAATTTGAGTCTAAATATGAAGTTAAATCAATATTTTCTAATCAAATACTCAACTATATTACAGTTATTAAACTACCAATTATTTATCAATTGTTAAATCATAATTTTACACAATCTTAAAGTTTTGTTGATTACAAATCAGGATTTATTTAACATAATTTATAGCGCATACTTAATACTTAGAAGTTGGAATATTATTAAGTAATAAAGTTTACAAATGTGCATATAATGGATGAAATTAAATATTTTAATAAATGATTGCAAATCTAAAAGTTTTCCAAAAAATCCAAAAGATTTCTAAAAGTCAAAAATCTCCTTAAATAGCGGTCCATAATATTGTTTGTGTGGTTCATATTCACTGAGTTCGTGCTGTCGATGCAATTCATCGGCAACTCTTAAATCACTCAAACATTGCATTAGTTTTGAGAGATTTGTTTGCGATTCGGATTCACATTTATATTTCAATAGCAGATACCGTTGCAGTAAATATATATACAACTGTTGCTCCAGGCTATGACAATAAATACACAAATTATTAACAATTTAGTAATTATGTTTATAAATTTGAACTTTTATGAAACCTCACATTAAAATCTAAATATCGCGATTAGAAACTTACTTAATGTAGTGTTTATGTCTCAGATTGGGTCGATTCGGGTTAAATAGTATAATCACTGTTAACTACATAAGTAAATATGCAATTAAATTATTATAAACAACAATATAGATTAAATTTAAATGTACTAAGTACCAGGTCCATAATGATAGAATCCTGATTCCATTGAGGTATCATATTATTCAAAAAGTCTTTGAACACGGTTAATTCAAATATTTCACCACCGATTCTCAGTGAATAATCATTGTCCTAATAAATTAAAAATTTAATTCAATATACCCTAATTAATATATTACTATATTTAGCTGAACGTACAACTTGAAATAGTATCTCATTGTTGTCATAATTATAATTGGCTAACAATCGCATTAAAATCACTTCAAAGCAGCCTTTCTTCACCAATAATAGCTGGTCTTCGGGACAAATGTCAGTGAATCCATTCAAACCTTTTGTAAAAGTGACCACATCTAATAATTATAATTGGCTAACAATCGCATTAAAATCACTTCAAAGCAGCCTTTCTTCACCAATAATAGCTGGTCTTCGGGACAAATGTCAGACTTAGGTAAGTTTGGAAAACATTTTCACTGGTGTAGAGATTATACTGGGAGTAATGCATACCATCATTAGGCCCTGTTAAGTAGTTTTAGTATTTAGAGATCATATAAAGATCACCTGCCCATCTAAAATACTTTTGAGGCATTTAAAACCTCTGTTATACGCGTGGACTCCAACTGATTGATACCATTATAATCGGTAATAGTCTTAAACACGGGAATGACTGACCACTTCAAGAACTCCTGTTTCAATCGATTCTGGTATGACTTATACTGAATCTGTATATCATTTTTGACGATACTCTCAATTTCCATAATCTGTTCGTTGAGTTCTTCATCACTAATATTAAGTGAAATGTCAATTAAACCCTCGATTTCATCGACAGTATTATCATTGAATTCTTGCGAAGAATCGGAAAAGCTGTCTTATAGGTGTCTTAGACTAAGACATCAGTAAACACACTCAGCAAACGCAAAGAGAAGTGGGTGAACAGCAGAGGATAACAAAAGGAGTAGTGAAGCATACTTAAGGACAGGTGTTTAAACAGACTAAATTTGTTTTAACATATTTAACAACTGTTTTATATTAAAAGATGATTAAAGTACGGCTGTCGCTTTGTGAATAGTTCAGATGTGAAAACTGTTGTGAAAGCACAAAACCATCAATAATACGTAAAGCCGTTCAGATGACAATCAAGATGTCTCTGTAATTAAAATTAATAAAAGTTAATTTTAAATGATTACAAACAATGTTAAAAATTAACTAACATAGTCCTTGGTGACAACGCGTCTAAAAAAGGCTTTACATGTTTCGCAAGTGATGGCCCCATAATTACGACCTTTATATAAATAGACACCAGCACATATAAAATATTAATAGTAAACTCAATATAAATAATTAAAATTTTGAAATATTAGTTTAAGTTGTGAGATTATTTACTTACCAACTATTTTTGTATCACCACAGATTTGACAAATTTTATTTGTTTTACTTCTATTCATTTTACCAAGATTTATGAAAAATAAAATGCACAGGTTGAAATATTTAGTAAATTGATATAATTATAAGCGTTAGAATGAAGATAATAGCTCATACACAATCTATATTATTATGTGTTCAAATTATTTATATATAATTAGTTATTAATAAGTGTCTTATATTTTGTTTGAATTACAATTTTATGTCAAGTTACTTTATTAAAATGTTAACTCATGAATAAGTGTTGTTACTAGTAACATTTGGTAGATAAACAATTATAAATAATTATAATGGCATAAAATACAATTATTTTCCTTTTGATAAATTATGATAATACATGGTAAGGTATAGCAATAGGCATGTGCATTGAAATAATTGAAATAATGTCATCATAATAAACTACAAAGTATGGCTGTTGATGATACTTACAGTTATTTTATATAAAATAAAAATGAGTTAATTTCAATAAATAATTTTTGCGTATTTTTATTATAAACGTATTTTATTGAAATAAAATGTCTCAAGTTTATTTTACACAATATAAATATGAATGTACTAGGAATTTATTAACAGGTTTATATTGACTGTAACTATGATTACAGCGTATATACAGGGTACTCTGTAGTGCAAATCATACACCGAGACCTTCACCGTAATGATTGCAATATTATTGCCTAATGAATGACTACTTTCTTAATGACACTCAAAAACCTTTTAATGAATAAAATGATAAAGCAATGGCCTACCTTATATAAAATACATCTACATACAAATATTTATCTATACAATATTTCAATTTCTTTAAATTAAGTTTCATTGCAAAATATTAATCATAACAAGCACCATATATATTTACAAATTATAAATTATATATTTCTCTGAAAAGTGGTCAAAAATACTGAATAAGTTGTTTGTATTCTCGCACACTGTGTGCCAGATCCAATTCACTTATAACATGCAAATCAATTAAACACTTCATTACTGATGATAGCATTGATTGCGAGTCTGAACTTAGTCCATATTTTAATTGTAGATACCTTTGCAGCAAATATATGTATAGATGCTGTTCCAGTCTAACCAGGCATCATTTTTAGAGAAACTAATTATTAAGAAATTCAAATAAATCACAAAATGTAAACTCACTTAACTTTGTGTCTATGGGTTAGGTGGGGGCGATTCGGGTTGAATAACAAGATAACCGTCAACTTTATGTAAAAATTTATTCAATAACTATATATATAATGTCCCACATGATCAGTAAACAGGTTATTTTTTACGTATCCTAAGTTAGATTTAAAATAAAAACCGTTTAGCTGAATTATTAATACTCATTAGAATCTCATAGTTAAAATTATTAAAATAATTATTGTACTACCACTTACATATTATATATATCGACCATTAAATATTATTATTATTAAGGATGTAAAATTTTAACTCAATAAAACATATAATGATAATTTCTTATTATACAAAGCCTGTGAGCATATATGAGATATTTTATGACATGGATATAACAGTATGATAACGGGTCACAATATGCTGTAAATTATTACCTGGCTACTAATCTTATTATATCTACATAAAACATTATTGTTAATTTTTAATTCCCAAATTTGATCAAAACCGACATATTTAAATTTTATCTGAAAAACTCATCAAGGTTTATATAATTTCTTTGGCTAAGATACTATTTGCTAGCTCTTACATGTGTTTGTTAATTTGCACTTTAGCCGGCATAATTATCTGTATTAACGACATATTTAAATTTTCTCTGAAAAACTCATCAAGGTTTATATAATTTCTTTGGCTAAGATACTATTTCCTAGGTCTTACATGTGCTTGTTAATTTGCACTTTAGCCGGCATAATTATCTGTATTACTATAAGAGATATAAAAGTTTGAATTGTTGTGGTCAATCATCGGACATGTTCAATAAACCCAATTTACTCTTACACCATTGCCTACTAAGAGGTCATCTAAAATCTTAAATTATACTACATTTGATAGGCTTTCAATCCCACTACTATATATTTTCCTACCATTACCTAAATTGATGTAAATTTAATTTAAAAAGATGTAGTCAATTATTGGACAAATGACTAGTACACCCTGTATATATATGGGGGAATACAGAAAGGTTGTTTCTGGCTAAAATTTAAATATCTCTGGAATGGCTTAATATTTTCAAAAGCGGTTTCAAAAATCATAGATCTCTTTAAGTAATGGTCCGTAATATGGCTTATATTTCTCATATTCCGCGACCTCTTCCTGTTTATGCAAATCTCCAGATATCTTGAGATCACTCATTGAATCTATGAGTTTCTGTAGACTTAACTGCGATTCCCGTTCCGACCGGTATTTAAAAAGTAGATATTTTTGCAGGAAATAAATACATGGTTGTTATTCAAGTCTTTTCATAAAATTAAAATTAACTTTTATGATAGTAAACAAAACATTATACAACTTAAGTTACTTAACTTTATGCCTGTGAGAGAGATGCGGTCGATTGTCATTAAAAAGTATGATTGCCCTAGCACACAAATTGGAGCAACTTTTTTTCCATTCTCCCCACATTCTGCATAAACGGGTTCATGTTAGCCCTCTCGCATATATCTATTCTAATTCATATAAATCTGATAAAGCGATTCAATATACAATATTCACAAAGTGACCATTTTTGATTAATTATTACTAAATTATGAATTAAATTAGCCCAATAGTTAACTACATTTTCTTAATTATTCATAAAATTAACTAATTGAGAAATAAATAAATAAATTTTGTTTATAATTAAGTCAATTTTATGATAATTTAGTTAATTTAACGCACAATTAAGTTAATTAATTTGTCAAAATAATTAATTTTCTTAAAAATATTTGGATATTCTGTTTATTATTAGCTACATTAACGTAATTGTTAACAATATCAACTTAATTTTTAACTAAATTTAATTAATTGTGAATTAAACAACTTAATCTTTAGGAAAATTAACTATTTTGGCAACTAAATTAACTTAATTGTGGGTTAAATTAACTAAATTAGATATAAATTATCTAAATTATATATAAAATTGACTAAATTATAAA